CACCTGAACGCATCATGCAGAGGGACCAGGGAGCACCTGAACACATCATGCAGAGTGACCACAGAGCACCTGAACGCATCATGCAGAGGGACCAGGGAGCACCTGAACACATCATGCAGAGGGACCAGGGAGCACCTGAACGCATCATGCAGAGGGACCAGAGAGCACTTGAACACATCATGCAGCGGGACCAGAGAGCACCTGAACGCATCATGCAGAGGGACCAGGGAGCACCTGAACACATCATGCAGAGTGACCACAGAGCACCTGAACACATCATGCAGCGGGACCAGAGAGCACCTGAACGCATCATGCAGAGGGACCAGGGAGCACCTGAACACATCATGCAGAGTGACCACAGAGCACCTGAACGCATCATGCAGAGGGACCAGGGAGCACCTGAACACATCATGCAGAGTGACCAGGGAGCACCTGAACACATCATGCAGAGGGACCAGAGAGCACCTGAACACATCATGCAGAGGGACCAGGGAGCACTTGAACACATGGAGTAAGCTTCAGAAACAGAGTTAGCATCAAAAGCTCAGCTGGAGTTCGGCTGATAAACTGCCACTCCTGCAGACGAGCAGCTGCTGCTGACTGATAACTCTGAAGGTCCAACGGTTCGTTTGAAACAAGGCTGAGGGACAGGTCTGTGGTTCTGTTCTGTGTGGTTCTGTTTGGTTCTGTGTGGTTCTGTTCGGTTCTGTGTGGTTCTGTTCTGTGTGGTTCTGTGTGGTTCTGTTCTGTGTGGTTCTGTGTGTGTCCAGCAGGGGGCATCAAACAGAACTCCTGCTGTTAGTGGAAACCTTCTTTCGGCTGCTCCTTCTTCAGGGGTCGCCACATTAAGCGAGCAGAACATTATCTCTTTTCTGACAGACCGAACAGAACCAGAACCAGAACCAGAACTCACGGATCAAACTCTTTCTTCTCTATTTTGATTTAAAAATTACCTGATTCTGTGAATAAAAAGTTCAGTTTCTTACCTCAAATGAGTTTCTGTTCAGCAGCTCCGAAGCTCTGACGCTGCCTGATGACAGAAAGGTAACTAATTAAGCCCCGCCCACCCATACTGACCCCGCCTCTCACACGACCCTCGATCTGGGCGGAGCCTGAATCAGGCGCCAAAACACCTGCTGCAAGTGTGATTTCACTCACAGCTTCCTGCCGCAGCCGTGCGTGTTAATGTGCGCGCGCACACGGGCACGCGTGTTGCTGATTCTTAACGAACACAGAGTAATATTGTGTATGTTGTTCAGTGTCAGGAGGGTGATCAGTCTTACATCGGGGAAACTAAACAGCCACTGGCCAAAAGGATGGCCCAGCACAGAAGATCAACATCATCAGGCCAGGACTCAGAGGTCTACACTCATCTCCAGGTCAGAGGTCACTCTTTCAGGGATGAAGATGTTCACATCCTGGACAGAGAGGAACGATGGTTTGAGAGAAGAGTAAAGGAGGCCATCTTTGTGAAAAGAAATCGTCCATCATTAAACAGGGGCGGAGCCTCCAGGTTCAACTGTCCCCCTCTTACAATGCTGTGATTGCTAGTATCACTCAGCCCTCTGTGAACAGTAAACAGCCATCAGGTGCTAATGATCCATTGTTAGGCTGATGGTCCTTCTTGAGCATGTGATCAGCTGGTTCTGGTTGTCAGCAGCAAACTGGTTGATGGCCATTTCCAGAAGAACCAAACATCTACACTTGAGCATGCATCAGGATATCTACACTTGGTCTTTTCACTGTGAATAATGGCTGACTCTGTAAAGAGTGTCAAAAAACATGTCACAGAGCTGTGTTCTACAGATGTAGCAACAGAGGAGACAAGGGACAACGAGTCTCCTACAAGTCAGCAGATTTTATCTTATTTACCGCCGTGTGATCGGAGCAGGGCAGCACGGTGGCACAGTTGGTAGAGCTGCCACCTCTCAGTGAGAAGGTTGCTGGTTCAGATCCCAGCCATGGGTCTTTCTGGGTGGAGTTTGCATGTTCTCTCCGTGCTGCGTGGGTTTTCTCTGGGTCCTCCAGTTTCCTCCCACAGACCAAAAACATGCATGTTAGACTAAATTGTTCCGAGGTGAGAGAGAGAGAATGGTTGATTGTCTCGTTTGTCTCTATGTGTCCCTGTGATGGACCGGAGACCTGTCCAGGTGTCCCCGTGATGGACCGGAGACCCGTCCAGGTGTCCCCGTGATGGACCGGAGACCCGTCCAGGTGTCCCTGTGATGGACCGGAGACCCGTCCAGGTGTCCCTGTGATGGACTGGAGATGTGTCCCCCGCCTCTCGCACAGTGACTGCTGGATGATGGATGGATGATCTGAGCAGAAGTGAAGCTGCTAATGGACCTGTTTAAAGCTGAAGTGATGTCTGATGGTTATCGAGTTGACTCGTACGTCGGAGCTTCTGAGCTGTGCAGCTGAATCGCAGCTCGTTCGTACAAATTATTAGAGTCCAAGCTGCTGCTGGTACAATTCATCATCTGCCCTCTCTGCATGAGCTCTGAAAAGTTTTTTAATCTCCGGGATGGATTAGACACTGATCACTGCAGCTAGCAGAGCCACATGGACACAGTTTACACGTTAAAAACGTTTATTTCAAACTCATCAACTAGTTGAAGTCATAGTTACTGAAGCAGCTATAAAGTCTTGAAATCATTATAATAATCATTAGGTCGTGTTTAGATCACCATCAATTTATTTTCCTTCTAAAACGTTGAGCTCTTTACATGATCATTGCCTAAATAAACATTAATTATGAATTATATGACGTTACTGTAAAGATGATAATAATTTGTGACGGATCCAGCTGAGCTTGCATCAGTTGTTTTGTTGGATGGGAGCACTTGTTCCTTCTTAGCGTCTCTATGACGTCACAACTGTAAAGAACGGGCAGCGCCCTCTAGTGGTTCTGGAGAACTCTGAGAACACGTCAGCACCGGGACACCTGCTGGGTCAGTAAATTTAATGTTTCCACCTTTTGATTTCCACCTTAACTGAAATCAAAGAAATTAAAATAATAAACGTAACTGAAAACAAAGATTATAGCAAAAAATATGATTTTGTTTGTAAACAAGATTGACCCGATACTGCTGACGGCTCTGGTTGAGAGGCTCACCACAGAACACACAGTCTTCTGTTGTTTATTTCTCACTGGTTTATGTTTATTGGGGTAAATAAGTGTTTTTTTAACAGCACAGTGATGCACAGAGCTCCTCTCAAGATGGCTGCCGGGATGCTCTCACTGTCAGTGGCCTCCCCAGTGCTTTTCTCTCTCCGTGGTTCTGATTAGATGACCTTCGTCATGAGGACGAGGAGGATGAGCAGTCAGACTGGTTACCATGGCGACAGCAGGTCAGATAAGGTCTGTAGATGAAGCACATGAGACATCTCACCAGGTGACGTTTGACCCATGACCCCATGCAACATGTGAGTTTCCACGGCAACGGGAAGTTTCAGGCAGGAAACCTGTTCTGCTGAGATTCTACGTAGTTTTCACTAACTGTCATAAAAGGTTGGCATTCATGTAGTTATCTGTTTGTCTGCCTGTTAGCAAAATATCTATGAATATTATAAAGATTGGATGAACATCTTCTAGTAGAGTGAGGAGCAAGTGTCATCCTTCTTCCTCCATCACTCACATGCTGCAATCTACAACTAATTGGTTTGATGGAGTCGGTCCAATTCAAGATGGCTGACACAGCTAATCGCACTCAGACGAGACAACAATGCCTTTAGCTCGGCAGAAACAGTAAATCGATGGTTGCCAAAATGTGTTAGAGCTCAGAGTACGACTCTCAGCTGCTACAACTCTGTAAAAACCACAGAGTTCAGGTTATTTTTCATAACTCCTATTATTGCTCATTGTTGATTTTCAAAATAAAAGTATTTCTGCCCAAATAAAAGTTTTGAGTTTCAGTATGGGTGGCTGATTCAAAACAAGACAACACTTCACTCTTCTTCTCTGGATTTTATTTGTCTGATTTGTCACATGCTCATGCTTTTATTTTTTAGGAGGGTTTACAGTTTCCTGTTTTCAGTCAGGTGTTTCCAGGTGTTTGGGGGAAAAAAAGACTGATACAGAAAAAAATATTAATATAAATACAACGTCACTTAGCAAAATCTGAAAAGACGTTATCTCAGATTAAAATCGAGTCAAACTTAAAAATATCAAGAAATAATTTAAATTAAGAACGTTTAATAGAAAAGGGTTTGTTCCTGTAGACAGTTTGTTTTCTTCTTTTTACCTGGACCACATGAGGCGAGTTCATCTGAATCCACCTCCGGCTCACATGAGTCCAGGTTTCTGAGGCGCCTGTTGGCCGTTCGGTCCCGTTTATTTCAGAAAACAGGTAAACACACCTGGGAAGGCTCACATGCTAAAGCAAGTGTAATGCTGCTCAGGTGTGCTTAGGTGGCACACCTGGAAACAGAAGGTTAAAAACATTTCCAAACAGATCAGGAAACGATGACATGTTAGAGGCGGGGCAATGGATGGTGGGCGGAGTTAGTTACAGTCTCAGAAACATTCTGATGGGTTACATAATGCTGCAGCACTTACATGGCTGCTTCTCCTTCTTCGCCTCCCCCACCACCTCCCCGCTGCTCACCTCCTGGATCATCTCTGGAGGTGTGGCCGAGGTGGACGGGGCAGCAAAGGTGGGAGGACTTGGATCTAACTTCCTGTCAACATCATCAATGAGCACTAGCTCCGCCTTCACTGTCCCCTGCAGCCCCAGAAGCTTCTTGGTCTCATCCTCGTCCTCCACGTCCTGGTACCCCATGAACACCATGGTGACGGGGTTCTCACCACTGACCTCCACTGAGTTCTGCTCCTTGCTGCCTTTGGCCTCCAGGCCGGTGACTCCTGCTGCAGCACATGGGACAGGGGGGGCATCTGACATGGCCCCTTGTGGGGGGTTTCCTGCCATGGCACCCTCTGGAGGGCCTGGTACCTCAGGAACCTCAGCCCTTGACTGGGAGGTCACCGTGGAAACAGTGTGTGACATCATCGACACCTCGTCGGCTTTGTGGATGAGCTCGTCGACCTCAAAGGAGCTCAGCAGATGGACTCCATCTTCACCATTCATCTCGTGGACCACTGACAAACAGAGACAGAGACGTGTGAGACACCTGACTCATCTGCAGCTGAAGGACCAATCAAAACAGAGTAGTGGATGAACAGCGCTTTGTCTCCTTCAGCTGGGGATCAAAGTGAACCTGCGGGCGTCACCTGAAGTGACCTGCAGGTGAGTCTGCAGGTGAGGAGAGTTGCAGGAGAGTCAGTGAAGCGCTGTTGGCTTTAGGAAAAGTACAACAAATCCAGGTGTGGATCAATTCAGTTCAGTTTATTTCTATAGCACCAAGTCCCAACAGAAGTCCTCTGAGGACACTGAACAGAAACATTCACATACTTTATACTGTAAAAGCCAATTAGTAAAACTCCTCTATCTAAGGATCATAACGAGTTAGGAGTCTAGTTATTATCATTAGTCCTGCTAAAGAAAGTACACCTGGACCTGTCCTTCGGTGTTTGTCTGTTTCTCCTTCCTGCCGTCTCAAATCCAGCCGGTCAAAGCAGATGGCCGCTCATCCTGAGTCTGGTTCTGCTGCTCGTCCTGAGTCTGGTTCTGCTGCTCACTCTGAGCCTGGTTCTGCTGCTCGTCCTGAGTCTGGTTCTGCTGCTCGTCCTGAGTCTGGTTCTGCTGGAGGTTTCTTCTATTTCAAAGGGAGTTTTTCCTTTCCACTTGCTCAGGATGGGAGACTGAGACAAAGTGAAAATTCAACACAATCTGCTGCTTCCTTCGATAGATAACTTTACTAATTTACTTTTATAATGTAGGCGTGTTATATCCATATAATAACATTATCACCAGGCCCAGCCCATATGATAACATTATCACCAGGCCCCGCCCATATAATAACCATTATCACCAGGTCCCACCCTTATAATAACATTATCACCAGGCCCCGCCCATATAATAACCATTATCACCTGGTCCCACCCATATGATAACATTATCACCAGGCCCCACCCATATAATAACATTA